AGTAATAATTTGGTGGAAGTAGTTACTACAACTTTTCAATTTTTATTTATTAAAGTAGTTACTTTTCTTTAATTAGTCTCAAATTTTTCAAAGCAGTCTTAAATAACAAAGTGGGCCCACACATTTAATGCTTTAAATGCTAATCATTTATTAATATTTGATTTGCTTCTAGAAAAAGAATATTTGTAATAACTTATTTTTCTATTCGACCACATAGTTCTATAGTTATTTCTTGAATCGAATTTTCTGATATTAATATAAAATTCAAAATTATAGATTGATTGAACTAGAATATGAAGAAAAATTGATTGAACTAGCAAGTGAAAATGATGGGTTGATTTAACTAGAATATAAGAACAAATTTGGGAAAAACAAAGTTTATTTTGTTGACAAATTGTGTTTACATTGTTGTTGCTTGTGAGACTTTCTGGAACATAAAAAATTGACTACTTTTTATTTTAATCCATTGCTTAATTTTAATTGTACATTGAATATTGTTCGATCAAAAAACAATTATATCACCGTCCACAATTTGTTTTTTTTTACTACCTAATTAGATATATTCAAGGCAAAATCATAATTCAAGAACATTTTGAATTCTTCCATCAGTTTTTTAAATTTTTTGAACTTTTAAAGATAGTTAGATAGATAAATCAGTTACTTCAATTTTAATGGTGTATTTGGATAAAGTAGTTGGAAAGTTTTAAAATATTTAAAAGTTTAAATATTTTAAATATTTTTATTTACAAAAAGAATATTTGAATGAGTATTGAATTTGTGCTGTTTTTTCTCATGAGGGGTATATCCTTGTCCTATTTTGTAACTCAATGATTCAGTGAATGTCAACTTGCAATGGAAAATGATGTGAAAATTAGTTGAACTAGAAAGATGGTGCGAAAAACGTTAGAAAATGCCAACTAGAAAGATGGTGGGAAAAATAATCAATATCAAATATAGATTTCAAAAATAAATGATGACTTTACATTTCTTTTTAAAAAATAGATGTAATATGTTTTTAAAAAAATAGGTGTAAATGTTTTTGTTAGTAATTAAAGAAAAAATAGATGTAATATGTTAGTAATTAAAGAAAAATAGATGGTTGTTAGATGTTTTAAAGGTTGTCCATTTTATATAAGGTTCATCAAGAAAAGTGAAAATAAATTTTGCAGTTAGTTAGCTTCACTCATGAGCATATTTTCTCTAAGATAACCTAGAACTTTTGGTGTAAGTCCTAGAGGGCAATAATTTTATGACTGACTTAACTTAAAACTTGTATCATGTTAGTTATTTACTATAAAAAAAATTATTGTGTTTGTTTTTAAACTAATAAAGTTCTTATAATATCTAGTTTGTTTAATGAAACATTAAGTGAGACTTAAATGTGAGACACCATTAAACGTAATGATGTCGTTCTAAAATTATATGTAGTCAAACCTTACCGTCAAAAAGAAAAATAGTAATGCATATAAACTATTGTATGAGTAGGTTGACAATCATATCTCACATGACATGAATATTAGATATCGAGTTTTCACATACATATAAATATTATGATTAATATTTATAATAATGGATTGGCTATCATGAGAATATTACATAATGTGTTATGATAATATCATAAGTAATTCTCATAGTGATAGTGGTGTATGTCACCCTTTGGTCTGAATTATGTCCATATCTCAATTTCAATTTAATTCAAAAACATGATCATCTACATACCATTTCATAGATGTATATGCCAGTTGATCTCTATGGCAAATTCTAAGCCTAACAAGTTGTTTCTCTGCATAAACAAAAATTACATAACTCACTTTTTTCTCAATAATCTCCACCTCAAGTATGAGTCCATCCATTATACTCCCCTTCAAGCGGAAGCTATTTCATCCGCATGTTTGTACCGCCATTGACAAACACTCTTACTTCATCATGGACACTTCAACGAGACACACCACCTGATAACCACCATGTCAGAAAGACTTACGATACAAGAAGTCAGTCTCTTACTCAAACTAGGCTCTAATACCACTGATAGATCATCATGAGGGAGAATCATTTATATTAGGTCAAACACTCACCTAAAGGTCAAAGACTCCCTCAAACAAGTGAGAGAGATATCACATATTCACCCTAAACCTAATAGTGTGTTTGGACGAAGCATTTTAATGAGGGAAAGTAACTTTCTGAGGGAATTTAAAATGACTCGATCAAAATTCATTGTTTGAAATGAAAATTATAGAGAATTGTTAAAATGATTTAAATTTATGAAATATTTTATTCAAGTTAAATTTAAGAAATTTCAAATGACACAAAAAAAATAAAGAATTTGAAATTGCACATTCACTCTATATAATGCGAATGTTAAATTGTTTATTATTAATAATAGGAAAAATGATTTTTTATGGGAAAAAAGTTAATTCAATTCATTAATATTAAGATTATGAATACATGTTGGTAAATCAATAAAATTTTAGAAACTAGCAAGAGATCGAGCCACCCGTGCCAAAGCATGAGCAACCTCATCAGCTTGTCTCCTAGCAAACATAACAGGAGAGTTCCTAAATAAAAGAGCTAATAATTGATTGCATTCACAAATAATAGCACCAAAATTCAAATCATTTGATTGCTGAATATTCAAACTATCCACTACATTTTTTGCATCCAGCTCAAAATCCACACTATCAAAATCAAGCTCATGCACCCATTTAATATATTCCAAGAGTCCTAAAGCTTCCCCAACATCGACTTCAATACTAGGCGAAAACAACTCAGACTGGGCTGCAACAAACAATCCTTCATCATCTCTAAGGGTGTGTTTGGTTCGGGGTAGATGGAGGGGAGGGGAAATTTTTAATTAAATATGTTTGGTTCAAATCTTAGGAGGGGAGGGGAGGGGAGCAAAATCCCTCTAAAACACACTTTTTGGTTCCCTCCGAATTGGGGGAATTTGGAAGGGAGGGGAGGGAATATGAGTTTTGATATTTAAAAATTATTATATTTACTAAAATATCTTCAGTTTAATTTTAGTATTTAAAACTATTCGTTTTCTCGATTGTTTCCATCAACTTATTATAATTGTTCTCCACCTTTAAATTATTTTATAATTTCTATACTTAATATAAATCATAATCATTGTCTTTTTTTTTATAAAAAAAAAATTATGTTTAGTTATATTCGTTTTTTTCTTTTAATTTTGTTATGTATTCTATCATATTTTCTTTTATATCAAATTGTAAACCATTCATTTTATTTATTTTTGTTTATTAATTTTATTAAATATTTTGAACCAATTAATATTTAATAATAAGTTATTTTATATATTTGTTTTGTTATATGATTCATAACAATTTAAACGATGTTATTGGCATATAGTTTAATTTATGTTGGAAAGTTATAAGTCGAATCAATTGTACTCAAATTTTTAATTTTATGTGACAAATAAATACTTTTTTAATCACTCAATATTAGAAATTTTATTACCAACAAAAATACGCATGAATTTTTCACATTTTAATATCATCTGACTTATACTTGACGTTCACTTGACCAGACATCTCATATGCAGTTCAACAGGTGTGCTTATTTATGCATGATCTAAAAACTCAACACATGTCTGCCTTGAAACACATTATTCGATACATTAATGGTACCATAAATTTCGGCCTCCATTTGTACCCTTCATCCGTCGACAAACTCATTTCTTACACAGACGCAGATTAGGCTGGTTGTCCAGACACAAGAAGATCTACCTCCGGCTATTGTATTTATCTCGAAACTTGATCTCATGGTCTGCAAAACACTAACATACCTTGTCTCGTTCAAGTGCCGAAGCCGAATACAGAGGTGTAGCTAATGTTGTGTCTGAATTATGTTGGTTACGCAACTTACTCTTGGAACTATGTTGTCCTGTCACAAAAGCTACTTAATTTGGTATATTGTGACAACATCAGCGCGAATTATCTTTTCGACAACCCTGTTCAAAATCAACACACCAAACATATTGAAATGGATATATATTTCGTGCGTGAGAAAGTTGCTTACGGTCAAGTGCGCGTTCTTCACATTCTTTTGCGTTTTCAGATTGTTGACATCTTCACAAAGGGACTTCTGTTGCAACTCTTTGATGACTTTCATGATAGTCTCAATATTTGTTCACCTCCAGTTTCGACTACGGGGGTGTATTAGATATGTAAATATAGAAAGATTATTGTTAGTATTGATTATAAATGATTATTAGAATCATAACCACATAATTGTATTGTGTATATAAATGAATAACAGATCAATGAAAAAACATAACCTAAATTATCTTACAAAAACATTAAAAATACAATAAAAATTCAGACTCAATTGTCATCAAACGCAAATGTCCAATATAATATCTCTGAAATCGAAAAAATTAGAGACCTTTTGTAAGAATTCAAAATTCTACAATTGTATTTGTGAATGGAAATATAAAATAGTCTAGGGATAATATAGTAAAAACATATGTATTTTGGGAGTGGTAAGTATTGGAGAGTGGCAGTAAGATTCCTCCAAAAACAAGCTGGAAATAAAAAGGAAGATGGTCCAAAGATGTTTACTCAACTGGTAACCAATATGCATAATCCCCTAGATTGCTGATTACATCCCTCACGCAGTGTGCCTTTCAAGGAACTGCCACGTGTATTGAAGGTTTGATTTATGGAGAATCTATCGATGCTAGTGATTAGGGAATCTTGGGTTGGTCTGATTCAAATATATATATAAGTAGTGAATGAAACACCAAGATTGGGATAGGAATTGACTCTGTAGGGTTGCATACCCTTGAATGATTTTTGTTATGTTGAGTAAGAAAAATATATATGTGCTTTATACGAGTGTGATATATTGGATTTTGAGTAAGCTATGTAGCATTGAGATTATCACAAAACTGAAATCAAGTTACACCATTCATATATAATTTAACTGAATAAACTGTCTAGTTTCAGCATTGTTTTAAAAACATCATATGATATACATTATCATCCATTTAAGCGATAGCTTTTTCCACGAAAAGCAACTCCATCACCCTGATTCTGCTGCTGAGGGGAAGAAGCAGCAGCAGCAGCATCGCCACTTGTTTCATGAGAAGTACTTCCTGTTGTTGTTTGAGTTCCACCAAGACGATTGCTTCTTCCTCTAAACACAATTCCAGCAGAAGGATTAGATTGCACTGGTGCATTCATTTGAGTACCTTCTCCCCAATAGGCCACTATTTTGTGACTAGTTTAAATAAGTTAAGGATTATAAAAATGTACTATCTATTAATTAACTTATTACTATTATGAACTTTGTTTTTTTAGTCTGAAAACTAAGTGGTAATAACCACTAGAAACTCACGCAACAATTGATATATAAAAGAAAAGGATACACTAAGAGAGGAGTGTTGAACTTGAGCTTTCCACCAGCAAGAGGATGAAGAACTGTCAAGAAGTAATACAAGTGTCCTGCAACCATTCCTAGAATGTCTGGCTTTAAAGGGTTTCCAAATATCAAATCAAGAGCTAGCATAGCCCATGGAAGGTAAAAACCCTACATAACAAATCAACTTAATAAGGAGAGAGTCTTAACATAACAAGACTGTATTGGTGTTGGTGTCTGACACAAACACGAACACCATACTTTTTTTCGGAGTCAGAGGTGTCAGTGCTATAGAGAAATTGACGATACCTTCAATGATACCAAACCATAAATGTTTTCTTGCGTTCGGAAATTCACGGCTCCAAACATAGACAATCATGAAAACTAAAGAAACTCCCATGAATGGAGACCATAAATATGGCACAACACTCATCACCTATAAGAATATAACGAAACTAAATAATAGGAACATAAAAAAGAATCAACAAAAATTAAATAAAAACTATATTTGTTGAAACATATACCAGAAGTGAGAGTGCACCAAAAATCAACATCCAAACATAATCTGCAGTTCTTTTATCAAATGGCCCTCTTTCCAATGAAACACCATATTTTGCTCTATAAAATTCAATACTCAAACCATTATTATCATAACTTATACCGCATCCGTATCAGTGATATAGAACTATAACTGCTATATATTCGCAGACGTAAATATAAGTTAAAGAATCTATTTACATCATTATGAGACGAACTGCGAATGGAAATGAAAATGGTCCAAGAAAGAAGAAATTAGTGATAACCCTCCAAACCTGTTAACAAATATAAACAAAAAAACAAAGAAAAATTAAAACGGTATATTATTATTTGAAAAACTCTGTTTTTCTGCGGATTTAGACAAAATTTCCGCAGAAAGTTATTTTCTGTTCCCAGCTAAAACTTTCGTGGATAATTAATTTAGTAAAGTCACAGGAAAATGTCGCAGGATATATTATTATAAATCTAAAATCGTAGGTAAAGTCTCAGAAATTTCTGCGAACTTTGCTGCTCCCTCAATTTTTGCAGGGAATAATGCTTCACAATATAAATTTGCTGATAAAACCGCAGAAAAATTTCCACAGAAAAATACGATGAATATTTATGAATTGAATCAAACCTGAAAGCGTTTAAAGACTAATCCATAAAACAGTGCTATGGTTCTTGCATCATAAAGATTGAGATAATATGCCGCTGATGTCATCAAACATGCAACTCCATAGGTCTTGCTGACAGGTGGTAGAGATCGGTAGTACTCTGCTGGTGTAGACATTATTGAATGAAATGAGTGTTAGAAGTTAGAACATGATGAAGAACATGAAAGGAAGATATGTTTATTATATAAACTTGATAGTGGTGATTATGGAAGAAGAGATTATAATGCATTTAAAAGTCTAAGTCTAACACCAAATGATACTCCAATATGTTTTTCTATGGTTGGAGTTGACTTGTTGACTTTGAAATAATCTTTGTATAATCTAGATTCTAGTGTTTGCTACTATTCTTTCTCCGCCAATTAGTTGTGTTGTCATTACTTTATTTGAACATTGTGACAAGCAATAAATGCATAAGAACTTATGATTTAACATAATACCACATTTTGTAAGTTCATAGATTTTCGATTATACTGAAGTAAACTTCTCATTTCAATAGAAGAACTGATGAATATTCTTCTGTGCATCAAATTACCAAAACTAAATGAAGTTAAAGATTTAATCAAAGTGCACAATTATGCGAAAGGTCTTGATAAGAAAAGACATTAAAAAGATATACATTAATAAAAAAACACATCACGTTAGATGTAAAGTAAAGTCTTGAATAAAGTAAATATTTTCTTTTTATTGATAAAAAGAGCAAACAAAATCATATACATTCAATACTAAATAATGAAGTACATATAATAGAAATTGTTAGAAGACACGTTTTCAACAACACACTTTAACTCCAAACTTTTCTACTTATGAAATTATAATATTTTATCATCCTCCTTTTATAATAATATGAAATTATACTTGTTCATTATCAATAACACACTTTAACTCAAAACTTTTCTCTAATTATTTCTAATATGGAAAATCCACCTTATATGGAGGATGTTGCAGAAATATCATAACAAAGAATTGTCTAAGAATGAATTGGTTAGGAATTATGGTAATGTCTTTGGTAAAAGGTAGATGCAGAGATATTGAATTTTTATGTTCGAACGAATGCTGATTTCCATGCTTTTGCATCTTCAGTACAATTTTGTCTGCAACGATTAGTGACGGGAAGTAATGGACTATCAGATTTTAGTGTTACCTGAACTCAATGATTGTCATTGACAAAACTAACAACAGTGATTTTATGCTTGATCGTATACATAAGTGGAGTTATGGTAAGAGAGAAAAAGGTAATGTTAAGTCTCTGTGACAGGGAGATAAATACGATATTGTACTTACATGCAATATGGTAACCCATATCAGGAATCGTCATCAATTTTTCTCGACCCTGCGCATCCAAATGTTCTGCTTTTAAGGAATTCCTAACTTCAGAGACCGTGTCATAGGACAAGTTAGAAAATAATTTTGAGTGCTGATGAACTTAAGTATCTAACTACGTCCGGACCAACGACCGTGACTCTTTGCCCCATCCGAGTAACCCGAAAACCACAATTTCCATTGTCACCTATATCAACAATTTCATCAATGTATGGATGCAAGAAACCAGGAAACTGAGACAAGTAAAGATGTCTCGAAGATGCAGTGTACGATTGACTTTGACCCGACATACCTGAAGGTTGACTTCCTGTTGGTTTTGTACATAATCATTTTATAGTATGACTCCCCTGCAAGCCCTTACCATACTCTCACTGTAAGGAATCACGATACACATCACTCTCTTCACTCTTTCTGCTCTTTTTAACACCCCTATTTAGCTTGTAGTTCACTGGAGGTGGACACATAGAAGTTGTGGATGGATGTGTTAGTTCCCGGACCTTTTTCTTCAACACCCTCAAGCCTACAATATCCAAAGAATTGAAATATATCTTCAACTCTTCACTCCCTGCTTTTAAATCCAACTTCGTGTGACTATCGTCATGACTGTTTGCATGCTCTTCAATGTGTAATTTCTTCCAAAATACATGAATTGGATATAAAAGAACAAGCGGGCCATGTATTTGAAAACTAGCAAATTGACACGCATAAGGTAGCCTATGTGTAGTTCTAATGAAGAAACCACAAATATCTTTGCTTGTAACAATAAATTTTACCCTGTATAACTCATTCCCTATGTATTGTATATATTGCCTTGAAACAAAATCGTGCAAGTTGGTATAGAATGGAGTGTTGTACCGATGTTCAATGCTGACAATAATTTTTTGAAACGACACCCTGATTGAACTTAGCTGCAACTTCAGCATGGTGTTCCGAGCATCCTAACTTTGGCATAAATTTCCCCGACTTATAGTCAACATGTTTTTTAGTCTCCAAAGAGCATACTCCACTCTAAATCACAATAATTAAACAATAATGAGCTAACATGATAAATTATGCTTAGTAATAAAATCGAAAAGAAGTCTGTGTACCTGTTCATTGTTGTGTTCCCTAAATGAGTGACTCTGTTAATCCAAACAGGCACAAATCTTTCTTTATAAGGTGTCAACCATGTTTCTATTATATATTTAACAAATAAAGGAATATCAACACAAACAGTCTCAAAGTGCTTCAAGTGTGTGACATACTCCTTACATTTCATGCTAACTTTTTTTTTGTAATATGGAACGAACATAACAAATGTGTTGAATTTGGAAACATAACTTCACTTGCATTCATCAACGCAAGTTCTCGGTCCCCCACCACAATATTCGATAGCAATTTCTTGAAAGAGAATAACTCTTTGAGCTTCTCCAGTTCCTATGCAAATTTCTCCTCCCTTTCATGTTCTAAATAGGCAAATTCTATCGAAAACGTCAACTTTGTTGACGTAACGCCAACAATCTCAAGTAGCGGTAACCAGTACTTGTATGTTCACGATAATAATAAAAAATATGATAAATTAAAGTATGTCGAAATGATATTAAGGTATGATCAAGAAGCACATTAACTATTTGTCTTGTAAGTACAATAAAAAATCAACACCAAGTGAGCATATTCAACAACTTCACTGAATCAGGATGTGCCCAGAAGATATCTACAACAATGTTTGAGTCTTCCCTATTTCTTGTCTAGCTGTCGCTACTCGAAAAAATGCGTCGCGCAACGACGGGGAGGCGAAAAAGATAGACAGAAGAGTCGCCACCGAACTTTATTTATCCCATGAGGGGAAAGGAAAATATCGAGAAAACCTTAGGAAAGAAATGGATAAGATGGTCTCGCAACCATGAACGGGTTCGGAAGCCGGTTATGCGAGGGGAAGGTATTAGCACCCCTCGTATCCATCGTACTCGATGGGAACCTTTTGTTTGTCGATGTGCGATTATATTTGCTAAAATATTATGTTATAAAAGTGTGTTCCAAAGGGAGAGAGATAAAGGGTTAGAAACAGGGAAAGAGAGGTATCGGGGAAGAAGAGAAAGAAAGGACTCGGTAGGACTTCGCGGTCCTAGGCCTACGTATTCTCAAAAGGTATGAGAAAATCAGAGTCGACGTAGTTCGGGGAACTACAGATATGGGGGGAATGTGCTCGGCAAGGATTGTGGCCCTTGTGCCTACGTATCTTTACTTAAAAGAAGTAAAGAATCAGAGCAGCCGTAGTTCGGCCTACGGTTTGTTGATGTTTTTTATGGATGATGCTATCGTGCGCATTCTAGCAGTTTAGGTGTTTTGCTGCTCGCTCGTTGGAGACTTAGGCGTTACCTGTTTGCCGTAGAACGGACGTAACATATCCTTTGGGAGATTGGTTTTCGCCACTCGGGGCAAGGTGTCACATTTGATTGATTTGATTGTTTTTTAAGGGGGGGCGAGACATGTCCTCGGATAGTAACCCCTACGGGTAGTACCCAATTCTTTATCTCAAAGTTTTTGTTGTAAAAATGTGTGGCGAACGTAGCGTCTTCGTATTGAAAGACGAGTATCAAGACCACACACACTACAGTGAGTATCCTGACACTCGGAGAGGAAGAAGACTACACTCAATCCTCTCTCTTTAGTTCAACACAAAGAGAACTTCATTCTCTTATTAAAGTGTTTTTGGTTTTGAATGGTAAGTGCTTTTTGCGACAGAGAACCCTACGGTAAACGTCAGCACTCGGGATAGGAGAAGGCCTACGCCTAACCACTCCACGACCATTCAAGTTTTTGTTATGAAAAGATTTGAAAATGCACTCGGTACAGGACCGAGGTTTTAGGTGTGAAAATTGTGGAAGGAAGTTGTGAAAGCGAGATGGCGGATAAAGTTGCGTCTTTGTATTGAAAGACGAATATCAAGACCACCCTCACTACAGTGGGCGTCCCAACATTCGAAGAAGAAGGGGTCTACACCCAACCCTCTCGTTTTATTCGATACAAAGAAAAGATTTTTGAGAAACGTTACAAGATACAACGTGAGCAAACCCTAATAGAGGGTCAACTTTCAAATAAGTCCAAGATCTTGAAAATCGTCAATGATTTGAAATGTTGCTTTATTAAATAAAAAAAGATTATAGTTAATGTGCAAAAGAAAGGATCTAAAATAAGTAAGTATTTAAAAATATATTGATTTTGGAAGTTATATAGTTAATCAAATAAATAAATTAAATGAAATTAAGAAAAAGGCAAGAGGTGGGAATCGAACCCACCTCCCTTTGGTTCAACGTCAACAATCCCAACCACTAAGACACCAGGCGCGCGTTTGACATGGAATAGGGAGGAAAAATATAAAAGGGTAGAAAGGAAATATAAAGGAAGAAAATAAAAAGAAAAAAAAGTGGTTTTGGTCCATGGCAGGACTCGAACCAAGGTGTTCAGTATTACAAGGCGCATGGTCTACCGCTGGGGCGGTGATACTTCCAATAACCAAAGTGGAAACAGAAAGATATATAGCAAACATTCATAAATTGCTGAACCAAAAAAAAAAGAACAACACAAAGGCATAAGCAAAAGCCAATGAAAGCAAATCGAAACTCCACGAAACCGAGTAAACCTGGAGTCTGTCCCATATGTTTTTTAATGAGGAAAGCAAAGATGCCAATCAAAACTTCAAAACCAGGCTTGTAAAGTAAAAACTAATGAAAATGCAAGAAGGGTGATTGAAGTGCAAAATGAATACCAACAGCTTGAATTGACATAATCATGAATGGACCAAAGTCTATACATG